ATCGCATCAATTCAACCCCTATAAAAAATCGCGTTCGGATTTTTATCCGGAAAATTTCAGATTTTTTTTCCAAAAACTTTCCGGAACTTTTGGTACAATTCTGGATAATTTCGGCAATAATTAATTCTAAGTTTTTATCCAGTTTTTTATTTTTTTAAAGAAATATTCTGGATATATTTCAGAATATTTTACAGAGTACATGTATTACGAGATATCGTCCTTTAAATTGACGAAAATTTACATATGATGACTTTCAGTGCGATATCTCGATAACTAGCGAACGGGATCGCATAAAAATATCATCGTTCTATTCGTCTAGGCGTGACAAATTGAATGGTGGTATTTTCATACGATTCGGATCACTAGTTATCGAGGTGTCGTTACTTTGCCACAATACACCCCCTTCCTCACAATACCCCCTTTTACTTATATTATGTAGTATAGATATTTATATGAAATAATTAAATTAAATAGAATAATCAAATAACAAGATCAAACTTTATTTTATTTTTGAGGAAAATACCTAATATTAATAATGAAAAAACATAAACAGAATCATCCATAATTTACAATGCTAAAATATCTCCCCGTGCCCTTATATCAATCTATCAATATATCAATATATGTCACAAAAATTGAACATTTTTTTTATAGGGAATACATTATCAATATATATATATATATGTACGCTTTTATATACTTACATGTATAATTTGCTATTAAGTTCGCTTTTTGGTCATAGCGATATGATCTAATATTTAATTTTAATAGCATTCATTTTTTGACATTATATTTTATCCGGATTTGTAATACAAATGAAAGTTTACTTAGTAAATTTAAACCGAATTTATCCGGACACCCGATTTCAGTCTCTGATGACTTGATAACGACCAGGATTTCAGCTGGTTTATGACATCTAAATTTCAGATTTCCAGAAACTTTCAGGCAAAGATTCTTTTAACCGAATTGGGAACTTTTCTGATTTTACGAACTTTCACAGACCGATCGATCCTTCACGTGATTTTCCGACACGATTTCCTCGGCCACAACTATTACTCAAAACATCCACATTAATTAAAGGTTAGTGTTAGTATTAGAGTTAAAGCTATATGAAATTTGCCTTCTTGTCATTTTTATTAGTGCTCCACGTTAGAGTTAGGCATCTGTTTCCCGTATTTTTTGCATTGTTTATTTTCTTGTGTCGGATTTGTTTTGTCAGTTTGATCAAAAATTTGCGCAATCTTAGGTTTGGAGGGGGAGGCTAAATTTAATATAATCTCACATGCTTGTGTTAATCTCGGGAGAAGGGGCGCCTATAATAAAATAGATATTTGTCACTCCTCTTATTGATTTCGAGATCATCAGTGGTCGGAAAACTCACGTGAAGAAACAATCGGTCGTGGTGAGTTGTGAAAGTTGATTTGACGTCAATGACAATGTTTAGAACATATTACAAAGAAAATAGTACAAATCATCTGATTCTTACTCTTTTATTTTTAAAGTTTGTGTTCGATTGTTTATGATTCATTTGACTACGACAAATAAGAGGACACGACTATTATTTTTAGAAGAAACTTTTTATTTTCTATTTATTCCGAAAACTAAAATATTGACACATTTATATCAATCATTTGATTTTCCATTTACGAACATTTAATGCTTACAAAGTAGATCTTTATAAGTCGAAATTTCCCTAAAATAACATAGATGTCCTCTTCAATCTTTAAGCCTGACATCGAACTAACCTTTCTTAATCGGAGTTACCCAGCTAGCGCTAGTACATATCTGTCATTTTATTATCATTATTGAAGGTGACACAAATCATTTGCGCTATCGCTATTGTTCTATAGCCTTTTTTAGAGTCATTCACCAAAAAGCTCAATTGTTCCCTGTTCATTTATTGTTAGCCAAGAATAATGCTGTAACAGAGAGATATCACGATAACAGTATGCTTATCGTGAGGCTTCCAATCAAATTTTTTGGTTATTGGATATATATGTAGTCATTGACAAATTTATTACTAGAAAGAAAACATATTGATAGCAAATGTATGCTAGGTTTTGTCGATCCCGGAAAAATTTGCACATCCTTATTGGTTTGCGCCATCAACCTGGCACACAAAATGGGGTCAACAGATTTAGTTAGCGTAGATAATCATGTATATGTATTTAAAGACGTGTTCGTTGTGATAAAAATACTAACGTTAACTCCATTATTGAACCTTATCTTTGTAAATTAATTTAATAAAAATCGAATAATCTATATCGATACGTACAATGTCCGCACCTGATCAGATATTGGATAGTCTAAGAGATGAAACATCACCAAGAACGACGAATAAAGTACCATTGGTTGGCTTATTTGCAAGCATTGGAAATAATGTGAATAATATGGTAGGCAGCGGGATATTCTCGACGCCAGGTGTCGTATGGCGGTTAACTGGGTCGTCAGGAGCGACCTTTTTGTTATTTTTTGTAGGAGCTGTTATTTCAATGTGCGGGTCTTTAATCTACGCTGAAGAAAGTATTAATTTTTATATGTTTGCTTAAGATGTTTACTAAAGATGAATTAATGAATTGATACTTCTTGAATTATCAGCTAGGGATTATGATTCCGGAAATTGGTGCAGAGAAGGCATACTTGGAAAAAGCCTTCCCGGAACCACATAATTTATTAAGTTATTTATTCAGTATCGCGATGATTACGATAATTCGCCCAGGCACGATAGTTGCTGTGTCCAATATTGTGGCACAGTACTTCTTGTTTATGTTTCTTGGAATTGAACGTTCAGTTGAAGCTGATTATCATCCAACTTATTTCACAGATTGGAGATTTTGGTATGAAGATTTTAAAGGATTTGATTTATCAAAAATATTATTTAACATGTAATAAAAATCCAAATTATACTATCTGAAAGGAGACTTCGTGGAATATCACTAGTGGCCTTAATAATCGCCACCACTTATCATCTCTACTCAAATATAATTGCAAATCGAATAAACCAAGCTCTCTCAATTGTGAAAATGTTGATTTTAATGGTCGTCACACTAATGGGCATCATTGTACTCGCGCGTAATACTTCTAATTGGCATGACGCGTTTAAGTCTACTCAACGAGAAGATAATGTAGTCTCGGTATCGGATTATGGGACTGCTCTTTTAACAGTAATTAATATTTTGCATGATTTTGCGCATAATGTAGAATGCATTGATCAATGTTAATTTTATTATTTAGACTTTATTTTGTTATGAAGGTTGGAATAATATTAATTGTGAGCAAAAATTTACTTTGCATTCTTTTTTTTTACTTATTTATTGTAAATCTACAAGTATTTGCTCATTTTCAATATAAATAGATCAATTAGATGAAGTTCTGGACGTAAAGAAGAATCTTTTTCGTACCAGCGTTGCTAGTGTTGGTGCAGTTGGTGCATTATGTATGTATGCATTATTTTTTATTGTTAACATCAACCTAATGGTATGTACTTTCATAAATCACTTTTCTTATTTAGATCTTTTAGTAATAATGTCCTTCGTAAGCGTCGTCCCGCACTCATATGTACTTAATGGTCACTCTTTTGGTCAAAACGAAACATTTGCGAACACAAATCCAAACGAAGTAATCGTCACGCTATTCGCCACATTCTTCAAAAACGCTACCACAAATGAAAAAATTGATGATACAATTCCATTGCATCAACTCATCCAAGAAAACGACAGTCACGATAAACTTGCAAGAGTTTTCTCGGCATGCGTGGTGCTTTCTTCATTTGGTGCTATGGCTGCGTTGATGTGGTCTGGCGCTAGAGTTATTGTTGCGTCTGCACAGTCAGAGTATATCCCGCGATTTTCGGAGGCGCTTAGACAACGGCATAAAGAGCGGGCAACTTATACGAATGCATTTGGTTGTTACTTTTCTATGCGTTTAAATTTTCTAAATATCAAATTAATGCTAAATACATGTACATGTATTTTGATTTATCAAAATAGTTGCACAAATGATTTGGTGTGCGATTATTATTATTCTGGCGCCGACTACAGACCCTTTTACATTTTTAGTCTCGTTATCGCAATACACAATTTTAATTGCTTATGGCGCTGCATCAGTTGGCTTACTGGTAAAATTAATTTTTAAATGTTAATTTTTAAATTCAATATCTAAAAATCCATTTGTACAACCAACATAGCATCTGCGATACACTGAAGGACTAGATCGACCAACTCCAGTCCCAAAACCAGTGGTCTACGCCTTCCTTCTCATGATTGCTTTAATTCTAGTCGTACCATTCACCAAAGAAAAAAGTGAATTCCCTTACGTCGTTTCTATATGTGTGATTGGTTTAGCTTTTACTGCATGGTACTGGAAATATTACGCATGGAATGCACAGTCTTCAAATTTATTAGAACCTGAGAAACAGGAGGATATCGAAATAGAAACGGAAAGTAAATATGAAGAAAGTAATATCTAAAAAGATGATATCTTTGAGATGAAGTTGGAAATTAGAACCGGATTAAGTCCTGTATTTTTCAAACGGGCCACTCGAAAATAATGCACTCGGGTTTATAATCCGCGCGCGTGTTGTTTGAGTATTCGATGGACTATGTAGATCAAATTTATGAACATGTATCGGTATACGTAGTTTCATCGAAAATGATTAGACCAAATTTTCGTGTAACATATATGAAATACATATTGATATATTTTTAACAAAATTAATTAACGTTTACTAATTTCCTCCCCAAGTTCTGATTGAACACAAGTAATTTCCATCGCTCATTGGTTGACTGCACACCGGGTCTTCTAAATCAACCAATAAATATACATGTACATAAATTTTGATCAACCCGGTAAAATAAATCCGATACAAGAAAATTAAAAAGCGAATAATGTGAAAAATACGGAAAACGAATGCTTAAACCTGGTTTGAGCCAAAACTGCAGTTTATCAATTATTAAAACGTCTCCAGGATACTGGTTCTTTTTCCCCTAAAAACTACTGGACGTCGGCCAATTTTGGAAATTTCCAGAACGTCAGATTAATTGAAAATATGCCTAATCGAATTCAAGCTGTTATTATTCCTGAACTAAATATTAATTCATGAAATATTAAATTTTGTGCTATTTTATTTTATAGTGTCCGCATAATGTTGATCGCCCTCTGTATCGTAATTTATTTCTCTCGATGATTAATTTCTAACTTCAAATTGAAAATATCAAAATGAACAGTCAATAAAAATTCCTAATTCCTAACACCAATATAAATTATAACCTACCATAACACAACTATTATTCCTTAAATGTAATGGATCTTGAATTGATAGCTTACTTCCAATTTGATACATGTATCATCTTCTGTTCCATCCACCTAAAAAAAATATGAAAAGAATATCGTTAGGCATTTGCGACTTTCGCAGCTAATCACAATTTACTACATTATATCTAATAAATAGGTAAATCGTATAAATCAAACTCACAATTATAAAGATGTTGACACTGCTTACAATAGCAATTAGGACTTGCAACAATTCCTCGGTTTATCAACGATGAAAATACGAATTTAAAAATATGCTTCCTAATGATGTAAATAGTAGTGCACGCTTTTTGACTGCTGCGTTTATTCCTATTTTATATTTAAATTCTATAAGTAATAAAAGTTTTTACATGCGTTTCAGTGAACTCGGATATTTAAATCTTCTTATCGTTATCGTCAGATACTTTGGATGAATTCGTCAATCGTCAAATAGTATTAGTGTCTGTATTGTTACTTTTTTGTGTATGCATTCTTTACTGTATTGTTTCTTTTTTGTGTAGGTATTCATGCGAACGGAAATGTGTTGTTGATATTTCGTAAATTAATGTTAACGTATTGATTTATATATTAGGCCTTTGTGCTTGCATATTCGAATGTACCATTATCGACAATAACCAGCAATAATGAACCTTCAGAAATCATTGCTGGCAAATTCGCTTTTCAAGTCGACGGCTTTAATTTAGCTCGTATATTATCCTTTTTGGAGCATTGGCCGCAAGCATATGAGCTGGATTGCGAGTAATTATAACCGTTGCTAAAAGAGATTATATTCCTTGCTCATCATGATTCCAAAAATGGAATGAAAATATATCGATATTTTTATTTTAATCATAAACAATTAATAATTTTCAGATAACACAAGCAATTTGGTTGATTATTTTTTATCCATTTAAATTTTTTGTTAGTTTGGGTGAGTACTGCATGTAGGTATTTCTGTTTCTGACTTTTTTGGGATAATTGGTGAGTCTTTTTATATTAATTGGTATTTTGTCGAGACTTTCAATGAGTTTCAAATTCTAATTTAATATTTTCAGTTTCTGCGCTATTCTCAACCCGATCTATTTCGTCCATTCAGAGTAGCACCTTAATATTTATTATGTTCACACTATTTATTATAATTGGGTCTTTCGTAACAGTAAACAATTCATTAAAACAATTACCCAATGACAACCAACTATGTGAAAGTTACAAATATCTAGGATAGAAATACTATCTTTCTTACGTCACAAGTTTGGTTATAATAGGAGTTGGTACTTTTTAAATCAGTTTCGATACGATATACGAGCAGTACGCAGTCGATTTTTTTCGTCGGACAAGTTACCATTAAAAAACAAGACAAATCTTAGGTCTAGATAAATCGAAATTCCGTTATTCTTATACAGAATTTAGAATTTATAACTGATAAGTATAACGATAACGATAAGTCTTAAATCCCTCTAAATATCAATAAATTAATATTATGAACAACATATAATATAGCTTTAACCTTTAATAAGTGTTTCGGCCAATTTTCGTCCATACAAATTTAAACTTTCTAATTACGTGATATGTTTGATGGGTTTATTTTCAGTTAAATAATATGGCTTGGTTTAAGTTACTTATCCATATAAATCAAACCTAAACTTTGGTCATTTATAACAAAAGCACCGAACGTATACAAAAAAAACAGCAATATCAACATCACCTTTGAATTTAAGAATGGAGATATTGATGTCTTCTTTCACCTGAATTCAAAATACTACCAGGAATAAGTCCAATTAATCAAATTCAAATACTGTACTATACTGCTAATTACACAAAAATGTACATTTATATATGTTTATTAAGTTTTCATCTTTATGTAAAATTGAAATTTTTACCATTCATTAAACTCATAATAAACTTATATAAAATTATATCATTTATAGTTTAGATGCTCAACAATATATGTGTAAAATTTGATATCTCTAGTATTTTAAAACTGAGGTAACTCTGATTAAATTTTAATGATTGATATGATTTTTGTATTAATTGCTCTAAAAATTATATAATAATATAAATTAAATTTCACATTTGGAAATAAAAGTTTGTTCCTGTTTATTTTTATTTTGAATTTTCAATAAGTTTACTGTAAAATTAGTGGTTTATATAATAGCGCTATGGTTATAACGCGGAACTCCAATTTAATAGTAGTGGGGACTGAAAACATAACAATAAAAATTTCAGGACACGTTACCTCAACCCTATACTCGGGACCATGGCGCTATAACACACATGCGATAAAACAAAATTAATTCGTGATCCAGAGGCCATGCCGCAATCTGCAGTTGCCCTAAATATGGTTTTTAATAGTTAAAATGAAAAGAAATTTTACCATTGTGTATATATACCTATCAGCATCATTTCCTAAAAATATTATTTTAAATCAAAAGTACATCACTTTGTCCTAATCAATCTGACTAATCAGAACTCTATTTAATAGTAAACGCCAAAATTGTAATTTCACAAAGAAATTTAAAAAAAATCTAAATTATAGCTTAAGCAAAAAAGCTATCATTTTGTTAATATTATTGTATAGTTATCTTTCCTCTTTTAAGTTATAAAACTTGAAACATGTACATGTATGATGCCATCTAAGTAGATATCTTATGCAGTCCCCCACTGTACAAACACAAACGGAAATCTATTTCCATCGCTATTTGTATTATCGTTATTTTTATCATTATCATTGTTATTTATCAGTACTATCGCTGTGAGAGCAAAAGATAAATTAGTTTTTTTTTCGACGATATCAAAAAAATGTCATCTTCGTCTTCGTTTGATGCGTATAAATGGTTAGAAACCGCGATATCAGAACATCAAATAAAATCTTTTGATTATAAAGGGTTCATTGATATCAATGTAATTGGACATGGAGCGTTCAGTGAAGTATATAAAACAAAATTGAAAGGAAAAACGTACGCCATGAAATGCCTTTACATAAAAAAAGGACAAAGCAAAGAGAATTCTTGTATACAATTTAGTAAAGAAGTACTTAGTTTAATATTTATTTTTGCTTTTGAGATATAACTTTTAATTTATAAAACTTCGCTCACTTTTATCGTTATAGTTGAAATTTTTGATCAAGATTAATCACAATTCGAATATTATTCGATTTTATGGAATTACTAAAGGTAAAATAAAATTTCTAAACAAGTGCATAAAAAATTGAATTTTATTTACTACGTAATACGTACATCTGTACACAGAGCATAGTTCGGGAAAATATATGCTAGTTTTGCAGTATGCTGATGGTGGAACTCTTAAAGAGTATTTCGAAGCAAATTATACGAAATTGAGTGGCAATGATAAGCTCTATCTCGCTAAGCAACTTGCAAAAGGAATAAAATGTATACATGATGAAGGAATTATTCATCGAGATTTGGTAAATATATATCTATTCAAACTTACAAAAAATTTATTAATTTGTTACTTATAATTACTTTTTATATTGATTTGTAGAATCATAATAATATACTCGTGCATAAAGGAAAGATTAAGATTTCGGATTTAGGATATTCGAAACTTTCTACCGATGAAACTCATTCAGAATCTGACTTTGGCATCATAAGTTATGTTGACCCAGCTTTTTTAAAAGATATGAATAATTTTCGACGTGACGAAAAATCAGATATTTTCAGCGTTGGAGTTCTGTTATGGGTGATTTCTAGTGGTCGCCTTCCATCCAATAAATGTGGGTATGTTCATCAAAATGTTCTTGAGAAAGAAATGACAATATCTGGAACTCCCTTTGAATATGTCAAACTCTATCAAAAATGTTGGGACAATACACCAGCAACTCGCCCAGCTATAAATAAAGTAAATCAAGAGCTAAAAGAAATAGTTTGGTTGCTACCAGAATCACCTGTTTTTGCATCTGCTTTAAGTTCCGATATGTCGTCAGAAAGTTCATATTCATCATGTGAAGAATACTATTGTGAAGACTCTGAAAATTTAACATCTTATCATGAAAAACTTTCAATTCCAAACTCGTCTGAAATTCTTGTCGAAAATTTATTTGAGTTGCTAAACAAGCAACTTGATTACGAAAGAGATGTGTCTACTATTGGCGGAACGTTACAATCATATTATCAACAAAACGCTTCAGAATCCGATGTTTATGTTTTTTACACTTTTCTATACACTTCTAAAAAAATTCAATATTCGATACTCTTAGGATTTTTTTTATTATACTGGTTGTATAATAAAAAATATAGATTTAAAGTCTGCAGCAAAATTTTTCGAAGAGTCAGCAATAAATAATCATGCTATGGCGCAATATCTCATTGGAACGTGTTATGAAAAAGGAAAAGGAGTACAAAGAGATCCTGTGAAAGCATTTGAGTGGTATATCAAATCAGCAGAGGGAGGAGATTCTAGGAGAAAATATAGTCTTGGTTTCGCTTATTGTAATGGCATTGGGACAGAAAAAGATGATAAGAAAGCATTTGAATGGTACTCGAAATCCGCCAAATGTGGATGTGCTAGGGGGCAATTTTATCTTGGTTTTTGTTATCGAAATGGAATCGGAACACAAAAAGATGAGAGAAAAGCATTTGAGTGGTATTTGAAATCAGTGGAAGGCGGAGACGCAGCTGGAAAATGTGGTCTAGGCATTTGTTATCAAAATGGAATTGGAACACAAAAAGATGAGAGAAAAGCATTCTAGTGGTATCTGCAATCAGCAGAAGGTGGAAACGCAGCTGGACAATGTTATCTAGGCATTTGTTATCGAAATGGAATTGGAACACAAAAAGGTGAGAGAAAAGCATTCGAGTGGTATCTGAAATCAGCAGAAGGTGGATACGCATCTGGACAATGTTACCTAGGTTTTTATTATCGAAATGGAATCGGAACACAAAAAGATGAGAGAAAAGCATTCGAGTGGTATCTGAAATCAGCAGAAGGTGGAGACGCAG